CACCTAGTGTAATAATTAATGTTTCATTGTTTTATAGTACACAAGGAGGAATCTGGGTCTGGATTATGAGAGCTAAGATCAATGACTGGCGTATAACTATGGGAGAGGCCTCAAAAGTGCCTTTCTGTAGATAACCTTCAAAACACAGACAATTCTGATTCTGCACTTGTCTAGGACTTCAGTGATATCTTCATAGCCTAAAAGGTTAGTAGGCTCTGGAGCGGACTGGGAGTGCAGCAGCAGGAAGTAGCTTTTAAAATTCTGCATCAGAATTAAGATCTAATGTTATGGTCATAACTACTGATTTTTTCTTTTACAACATAGCTGCTGGGTAGTTGTATCCAATAATCTGGAATTTGCAATGTTTACTGTATTTGGGAGAATTCCATGCCATGAAAAAATGTTTTGAGCAGATCACTAAATCATTCTTGTGTTTGACTACTTGTTCGGTGTTAAAATCATTTCTCACAGGGAATGTTCCCCAGGGCAGGGGTTGGAAGGGCAGAGCCCAGCTGGTCTGTCCCATTGCCTCCAGTGAGGGAGGAGGGCAGGCCAGGTGCAGCCTCAGGCAAGAGTCTCTGTCAGCAGGCAAGTCTGTAGTGATGAGACAGGTCTGAGGTCAAGCCAGAAAAGCAAATCAGCAACACAAGGTCAGGATGCGGCCCAATAAGGGTAACCAGGTTCTGACACAGCCCAGCAGCCTGACTTAAATGGACCTGTGGTTGGTGGGGTTAAGACCCCAGCTGAGGCTGGTCGGGGCCACTAAGGCCTTTTAGTGCCCCCAGGACCTTCTTACAGGGAGCTTCTGTCTTGATATGCTGACTTTGATGGGACTTATCCTGAGCTGTATCTTCTAATAGCCTCTGATTTTCCTCCAGTCTTAAGGGAGATCCTAAATGCTCAGTCTGAATACTGTAAAATTTGTTAAGCAGATACAGTAAATTAGACATTTTGATACCCAAGCCCCTTTGTGGATCAAGTGTCTCAACTAGGACGCTAGGCCAGCCAGCTATAAGTCTTCAGACTAGACTTCAGACTTAACCAATGTGTGACCTTGCCTATGGCAATATTGTGCAATTTCCTGAAAGCCTGTAGGTCCTTTGTTTGCCTTGGTCTTGCCATCAATGATGAAAATCAGGGTGTTATCTTTTCTCTTCTTCATGGTTGATTCTATGATCAAAGGGAACCTCATGAAAGGATATAAAGCTCTTGCAGGGGTTCCTGGGCTGCCTTTGCAGCCACTGGGTTGAGTCTTGGGCCTCCCACAAGTGGGAAATGTGCAGACCTTCTTGAAACTATGGATGTTTTCAAGAGCCTTCTTGGTTCTCAGTGCCTTGGCCTTTGCCTCCACCTTGGAAGACTCGGTCTGCTTAGGCTGGGGCAGTATCCTCAACAAGTGGAAGTGAAAGGAGCAGAAACAAACCAGGCTCTCACATACTCACCCTCTGGCCTCATCTTGGATATTGACAAAGTCGGACCTCACTGAAAAGCAGCCTGGTGCTACTGCTTATCTGAGGCTCTGGGAGCCCTTGTAGTAGATGCACCTGCACAACACATCTATGACCTGCTCAGAAGCTGCACCACCAGGTGTGGACTCCTGGAGCTGGGGAGAAGAGGGACAATGCTGCATGGGAGCTTAAGTAATGTTCAGCACCTTGATGTGACAGTTCTCTGATCTGTGCCCTGATGTGGGAGGATGTGTGTTAGGTGATTTGGTGTGCAGGCTATATTCTAGAAGTCTGTTGTGTGGATATTGCTTACACCAAATGCATTGTCATTAAGCAATTGCAGCCAGTTTCGAGTATCTAGTTTTGCAGACTGGAGAGGATTGCTTTAATGTTAAGTGCTACTGTTTTTGGGTTTTTTTTTTAAGAATCCACAGTAAATATCTTTTATATGGTGTCTTCTAACATCTTCAGTTACCATCAGCACCCTGACTACTGTAGCAATCTGTTTACGATTTGAGCTCTGTTACCTTACTTAGCTTAGCACCTCTTGGGAAACAGCTGCCCAGAAAAAAAGGCAGATACCCTATTTCAGACTTTTTCAGTTCTCTGAGAAGTGTTGAATGAAACTAATTTTGCTTTTGGGGTTTCTTACTGCTTATTAAATGAACTCTTCCAATAGTCGTGATTGTTGGCAAAATAAGTCTGAATTAACTAGTATGAGGAATAATCAAGATATGTTCACATTAAGTTCTGTTTTCACTATTTTTAAAAGACTTGATTCCCTTTGACTTAAGGCTTGAGCTTGAAAATCCCAGTCTTTGCCATTGAAAACCACAGCTGAATCAACAGTGATAGTCTTGCCAAAGACAATGAATCTTTTAAATCACTTCCTATTTACTAATATATCTTTATGATTCTCTGGCTAAAGAGTCATAGTTTCCACAGATTTCACAATTCCAGAGATTTTCTCAACATCATAAAGAATACTTTCAAGAATTTGTAATGTAGTTTAGGGTGTCATTGCCTTACTCAAGGACATCTAAGCAATTTGCTAAGTTTACTGACAAAATTGCCATATTTTGGGTGTTTCCTGTGATGGGAAGATTGCTCAAGAAGACTGACAGATTAAAGCTACTGGCCTTTGAATTAGACATCACAAATGTTGCTTGTGGTCACTAGGCAAGAGTATTTCAGAAATGAAATAATGGGGGGAGGAGGGATACAATGGAAAAGAGAGTCATTGACAAAATGGGAGGAGAAAGCTCTATCTGTTTGGGTAATCTACTGGATGCCTAGATTTAAGACAGACTAGGCTGTAAACTGGCTAGGAAAGCAGAGAATTTATCTGACAAAGTATGAATAAGCTTTTTCACAGCAAAAATTGTGGTGACTCTTACCTTTCTTGATTAATTAACCTTTTGTTGATTCTGGCTCATGCAGGTCCTCCTTTTTTGTTCCTTTCTTGTAGCAATTAAAAGCAAATCTGAATTTTTTTAGTCTGAGACTCTCCTTTTAAAAAAACAGTTCTTGTCCCTTAACCCGTTGCATAGCACGGCATGTGTATATTTAAATATTGCTGCTCAACAGTATTTCTGGCAATCCTCTGCTTGCTTACTAGCCCATCTAACTTTATTTGCTAAATCTTCTAAATACATGGTTATTGCTGGAACAGTTAAACTGCAAGTAAGAACAATTTTTTATTTCCCTATTTTTCTCTTTTTTTATTCCCCCCCCCCCCCGCCAATATCTGTGCTGTTTCTCTGGATTTTCTTGCAAGTCCTTCTGAGACCCTCCAGCTATGTTTTTTTTTTATAAGGGTTAAACTACAGTTCAGGCTTACTCAGAAGAAGTTAACTACATGCTGAATACATTGTCCTTTGCCACACTGAAAGCAGACTGAGAAGCAAAATGTGCAAAAAATGGCTAGAGAACATAGCAGAATAAGAACAACTAAATTTAGCTAGTTCTGTTCTCTGTTGCTGTCTTCTGCAAACCACCAGGCAGGCTCAACATAGTCTAAATGTGCTTACTAAATGAGTTAACTTGAGACTCACTCTAATATTTCTCCTAACTATCCTGCTATCTTTATTGAAATCTCTCCCGCAACTTCATTAGTGGTTTAAAATTGAACTGCCAAATTGAAGCAATACTTTCATTAATTGACAACCTGTTCTGTGGCCCATACAGTCCTAATCAAGTGAATACTAATAGCACCAGTGCAAAATGGCCTAAGAGCTTAGTTACTGTACTGCAAAGGCTGTAACCAGTGACAGTGAAGTCATACTTGTACTGCTGTCTGTAGTGCCTGCAAAGAACTCAATATATCTTGGCAATGTAAACCCAAATATGTCAAGTTTCATGTGCTTGATAGCAGGTTAAGTGAGGTTGGCGTCTGATGAATTGACATTATGGCTGCAACTAACTACTTGAGCAGTCCTAGATAATACTCCTAGAAGACTGAAAAGTTTTAATTTCTCCTCTTACAAGCAGTACAAGATAGGGAAGAATTCTGATGTGAAAGCTGCAAATAGAGAGCCGAGTGAGGAGAGGAAGGGGAGCTGCTTGCAGACGTAATTTTAGTCTAGTGAGGCAATCCCAGGTCCTTCTATGGTTAGGGGAAGGTTGTGCTCTCAACTCAGAGCATGGGTACATGTTACTAGTCCCTCAGCAGCTTGGTTTGAGTCATTCTTGTTGTTCTTCCCCTTTTCCCCAGCGGTTGTTTTCCTCTCCATGCTGGGGGGGGGGGGGGTTCCCCCCGCTGCCCAAGCCCAACTGTTAACAGAGTTGTCTGTGATGTTAATTCAAACAGAAAAAAACCCACCTGGAACCGAACAATCCCCAAAGCACTTCCGCTGCTCCCACCCTCTCTCCCCCATGAGCTGGGCCGGTGTCGGGGTGTGGCTGCTCCACAAAGCCGTGGAGTCGCACAACCGCCGGGGCAGCGGCCTTCGGGGAGCGGGGATGAGCAGCTGTAGGTGACAGGGGATGACCCGAGTCCAGACAACGCTAAACCGTGCTCTGAGCGAGTGGCCCCTGGCAGAGCCGCCTTGTCCTCTCTCACTGCAGAGGGGAGAGGCTGAGGAGAGCTTGGGAGGGGAGCCCCTCAGCCAGCGGCCCCCCGAAGCTTAGGCCGGTGCTGTAACCGCGGCCCCCCCGCCGGGAGGCACGGAGCGGAGCTGTCCTGCGGTGTTC